TTATATCACTTTGAATAGATTTTTACCATGAAAGTTATATTATTTCCCGTGAAAGACGCTGATTTTGATCACTGATGCAGATGATACGTATTCTTTCTGATTATATTATGTCCTGTAATGTAGAACTGGAAGCTCTGTTTTTCTGAAAGAACTTCCAGCACAAGGTGTTTGGGCATATTTCACATTTTTACAGGGAAAACTTATTTGAGCAGACAGTAGTGTATTAAACAATTTATATAGATACTTTTATTTTACATAGTAATACAGATACTTTGTTTTACAGTACTACAATGGTGTTTGGCCTAATTAGTGTTTTAAGCGTATTAACTTAGGAACATATTTAAAAATTATGCAATGACTTGTCTGTGCTTAACTCAAGCTTTGAAAGTTGTTTTGGATAAAGAAAACAAAAAAACAAAACACCTTTAGAAATGTTCCCTTAGCTTTCCAAATTTTTTGTTCTCACACATTCAGCTATGTCCTAATATTTGGCATTTTGATTTATTAAGCAATCTTAAGTATTAAAGGCTTTTAGCGTACACCAGCGCAAGACTTCAGAAGCATTGTGCCTTGTGTCAATGATGAATTAATTCCAGCAGAGCACAAAAGTTACTATTATTTAAGCCTAGCTCCTCACCTCTGCTTTTCCATCCCAGTCCGGTTCTGGAAGGCCGCGGGCTGGGTTCGGTCTGTCGGAGGCAGCGGCGCTCTGAGGGCTCCGCCGCCGCCCGGGCCCGCCCGTGAGGGGCTCCCCGCGGGGGCGCGCGGCCGGCGGCGGCTCCGCGCGCTCCCGGCGCCGGCCCCGCGGGGCTCCCGGGGCGCGCGCGGCTCCGCGCGGGCCGGGCCTCGCGTGAGCGGCACGTGCGGGGCACGCCGAGGCTGCGCCGCGCGCGCAGGGCCGCCCCCTGGCGGCCGCTCCCGCCGCTGCCCCCGGCAGGGCCGGGCCTTGGTGCCGGGGCCTCGGTGCCGGGCCCTCCGCGCCGGGCCCTGCGCCGGGCACCGCGCCGGGCACCGCAGACCCTACCAGCCGGGTGTGACACGCACCCCGCCATAAACCGAGGAGGTTTAATTGCGGCACCGCGCGCTATCCTGCTATTTGTACAAATAAAAGACCCCGTCTTGATGCAAAATAAACACAAAAGCACTGTTGTGACTATAACAGGGAGTCATATACTAATTTATATAATAAGTGGTTGTGCACGCTTTATTCAAGATTATGGCTGCAAGAAATGGCATGAATTGCTGGGTGTGTTTAATGCTGGATTATAGCAATTTGAAACATGTCAAACACATGGCTAATGCCTCATGCTTCACTCATTCTTGCGTAAACCTGCATAGCCACCATCCATTATACCCCTGGTAACAACACAATTCTGCAAGTAAATATTGTTACACTAAGTAACCTTTCAATTCAAGTTGTTTAGGAAGAGAAAATGCAATCTTGTGCAGTCAGTTCCAGTGTCAGTTTAATGTTTCAAAAGGGAAGTGGCGTAGAGAATAACTATCTGTGCAGTGACTTGCCGCCTTAAAACCCACGCGCGTGCACGTGCGGGCGCACGGGCGCACAGACAATGTCCAGTTCTCTGCAGGGGAGAAAAGTACAGCGGCAGCTTCCAACTCAACGAGGTGCAGCATTTCTGGTTTTGGTATGGGTGATAGCTTGGCTGCCCTGGCAGGATTAGCTATTCAACCTGCAGCTCAACCACGCTCTAAAACTATCCACAATTTCACTCTCTCTTGCAGACAGCAGAAAATATTTTCCCCATACCTTTGTTTAAAACACCGGGTAGCAAAGCTTGTATCCCACCTTTGGCGCCAAGAGTTGCAGAATCACAACAGAAGTAGGTGCTGGTGAATGTGTCTGTGAGTGTGGGTGCGTGTGTGTGTGTGTGTGTGCCTGTGTAGGCATGCTCATGACTGACAGCGAGTGTGACAGCAAGAGAAAAGAGAAGGATTAGAAAGTATGAATGTCTATAAATGTATGTAAACAGGGACCTGTATATTTTTTCTTGTCCTATTTGAGTTTCCAAATTTACAGCCTCAGTATCTGGCTGATGCCTATTTCCTTTGTGTTTATTTATGCTTATTTTGGTAACAGTCTGCACTACTGTTGTAAAAACAAAAAAAAAAGTACATTAGTTTGCTCAGTGAGATGCTGCAGCTTCCAATTATTTTGCTACCAATAACTCAGATACTGATACATAGACATTAGAAATCATCTTTGGCTGTTTTCAGTGCTTCAGTTTGTGAGGATTTAGAGTTGATAGTACATACACACGTGTGTAGACTCACGTATATATGTACATCTATGCAAAAGAAAAGAAGGGAAAAGAAAACGATTCTATGCTCTTGCTTTCTCTAGCAGCCCTTTTTCAGTTGCTGACAGTGAGGAGGGGGCTGAGGACAGCCAACACAGTGCATTACTCTAGCCAAAGTTTTAGTGTTGTTCTTAAAAATATAATTTTAAAACTAGATAAACACCTCCCAAATTTTATTTTTAACATAAAATTATACGATCTCTTTTATCTTCATAAAAATATATCTTTTTCACTTCAAAATAAATTACCCTTTCTAGTACTGTTACTCTGTAACTTCATTCTGTCTGTACCCAGCTGTTGGATTGGATTTGTTGTTTTCTATTGCCAGAGTGGTGTTGCTGGTCATGCTATGTTAAAGCCCATTCTGCTGGCTCACAGGCACTTTAACTTTAAATGTAGAGCCTGAACTACACTCTGGGGCTTTGCGAGGATACAAAATCCACAAGACATAAAACCCTTTGGTTAAAATGAACTGGAAGACATTTAACCCTTCTTTGTTAATTGTAGTGAAACAGTCAGAGAGATGTAAAAATAGGAGGGATGGTGTATTTATTTATTATATTTCTGGGTGTTTTGTAATGTTTTTGATTATCTAACATTTACCCCTCTTTGCCCTTTTAATGTGCCTGGCTAAATGTACCACTCTTATTGTCTAATGTTTGAATTTGTAAAAGATGAACCTGTCTCTTGGTTAAATCTTTGTTTCACTAAAAGAGGATTAACGTTTGAATTTCCCAAATTTCCAAATCCTTGTAACGATACAGCTGATGAAGTTTCAAATAAATTTCCACTCTGATATACACGTCCTTTTATTGAAAGTAAATATTGTAAAAATTGGAAAGGGCTGTCTGCTTCCACAGTTGTGGCATATCCGCATTAGAATTTTCATATAACTACTAAGGGCAATCAGACCCTTTTCTCTGAATATTTTAAACATTGTACATGTAAAATTTATGCCTAATTTGAATACTTATTAGCTGCCTAATCTCAGAAAAGAGTATTAGCTTTGTTTTTGCCTTGTAAAATTCATCACTGCTTGTATCAAATTTTCCATTTCTATTATTTTTCTTTGCTGATGTTCATAAGTGTTTTAGGAGGAACTGTTTCTTCATAAACACATCTGGTACTGCTGTTGTTTACTGGACTATAACAGCTGCCCTCCTTTATGTTACTGTGTTTGTGTTTAGGCTTTTTGCATCCTGTTTATTTCTGACCAGACCATCCTTAAAAATATATACTTTTACTTTATCTTGTAGGATCTTGTTCCTGCATTTTAATTAATATCCTATGCAGATAGTTGAAATTGTAATGATCCTTTTCCTGCTTTTTTTTTTCTTTTTTTTTTTAAGGAAAGGCAGTTGTTCATACTTTGCAAGGGAAAAAATAGCTAAGTTAAATAATTAGGCTAAACAGCAAGCTTTGTTTCCTTTCCTAAGTTTGCTTACATATCCCTCTCCCTTCAGAGGTGTTTTTTAAAATCACAGCTGAGCCAGGTTGTTGTGAGGACTCTTGTCAGTAGGTTGGGAGAGAGGATGAAGGAAGGGAGCTGCATTCTGACCCTGCAAGAGCAGGAGAGGACTTTGGTGGCTCTGAGAAGAGACGCTGACCTTTCCATATTACAGATACAAAATGCGCCTTGAAATTCTGGTTTGTAAGGGCACGTTGGTTCTTTATTTACTGCAAAGATTTCAACTGATCTTGGCAGGACATCTCATTGCTATCCTGAAAGTACAGTATATTTATGCAGTGAAAATGATAAAACATTTATTACTGTAGAGAAGGTAATATGCATAATTTATGCTGTTTTTAGCACAATCATTAGTGATATTCTTGATAGATTTTATTTCCAGCTTTCATATCTAATACATGCCTGGAAAATTAATTTTATATCTTTCATTTATTTGCCTATGTTAAAATTGAGTTTTAAGTCATCTTCAAGTGAACAGTTTGATTGCTGCTCATGCATAAGCTTAATTACTTCCCAGGAAGGACAGTATTAAATGTTTTAAATGTCAGAAAAATAAATGAATATCAGGCGTTTGATTAAAAAAATAGGCAATATCTGACGTGTTTGCAGCAGGAGCTTTTTCTTAAAATGCCTCCGAGGCAAAATTTTATTTAGTCACAAAAAACGAGAAGCCCATTATACTATTTATCATTGGTTGATACCATATGATTTGTAACACCCTTACAAAATTTTAATTTTGTATGATTAGCTGTGCATCATTAAACAACAGCCTTGCATAAGATATGCTGTAAAATTCTGACAGAATCAAGATAGTGAATATTTTAAATAAGGCTGTATAGTCATCCATGGTTGTCAAAGCTAGATAATAGGAAATATAGAGCAGTGTGTGAAATCGTGCCTTCACTTAAACTGGTTTTATAGGTAGACTTTAAAACGTAGTCGTTCATAAATGCTATTGACCATGCTGCGTGCATGGTGTGTTATTTTGGCCGTTAAATGTAAGCACACAAAGCTTGCTTATAGAAATCATAATTCCAGTGATTAGCAGCTGTATGAAAGCAGAGTTTGCATTGCATTTCTTGGTAAACGGCTCTGCGAGGCTTTTTTCTTCTTCTAAAGATGCTGTCTGTGTAATTGGCAGAGAGGGACATCTTGATAATGGAAGTGTGAAGGTGTAACGCGTGTGTTAATTGATACTTCTTAATCACTTTTAGGTATTAAGTCATGATGCAGGAATCTGCGACAGAGACAATAAGCAACAGTTCAATGAATCAAAATGGAATGAGCACTCTAAGCAGCCAATTAGATGCTGGCAGCAGAGATGGAAGATCAAGTGGTGACACGAGCACTGAAGTAAGCACAGTAGAACTGCTGCATCTGCAACAACAGCAGGTAAGTTTGTTTTGTTTCCTGTTTGTTTTTAAACAAATAAAGGGCTGTTTTCAGAGGGAGACCTTTTTGTAGACCCTTGGTGCGTGCCGAATGCGGAATGTCGTGGAAGTGAAGAGTGTGGGGCATTATTTGTTGTTGTTTTAGTGCACGATAATGCTGAAATGGAAGGATCCCGTTCTTGTGGCAGCAGCATCTTGCTGATATGGCTGCATGCCACCACGCTTGCCTGGTGATTAAAATCCCGCTGCGTATTTATAAAAGTTGTGCCGAAGCCTTGCAGTGCATGTTTTCAGGAGCTGTTAGTTTACCGTGCGGCTCGGCGTGCAGGACGTGGTGCGGGCTTTTCCACCAGAGGGCCACATTACTTGAGACTTTGCTTCCCTTGCAATGAATTGTGCCAAAGTCGGAGCTGGGCAGTGAAGGGACCCTAGTGAAGGGACCAGAGTGACTTTTCTCAATAAAGATACTTTGCTGTCATAGGTGTAATTAAAAAATGCTGGTTACTTCAAAAGCAGCGAAATAAAAAAGACCGTGTTCCTGTCTGCATATGCTTGCGTGTGTATGAGCTGTAATATGGATGTGTAATTTTGAAAACATGGGAAAAGAGAAGAAGCAGCATTTCTGCATGTCTGTTTCCCTTCTCATTTTGAAGACATATTTTTTAAATTTGTCTGTTCGTGTTCCCAACAATTTAATGGAGAACTACTGTTATGTTTAAAACTGTAAAATTCAACCGTCCTCTGGCTGCTGACACCACCTAATTACAAGATGCAATCCATTAATTTTTGTCGCTGTAAAATTTCTCTTCCTTTTAAAACCTGAACAAACAAAACTCCTACTTTTTCTGCCTAAGGAGTTGCCTCTGCATCCGGGAACACAGATTGTACTAATGCGGTGTAGCCCAGATTGTTTGGTAAACAATCAGGGTCTGATTCTGCAGCGTGCCCAGTACCTGCTTCAAACTCCTGAAAGTCTTCGCTGCCTCATCCTTTCATTTGCTGAGCCCACTCAGCACCTTTGGAGTTCAAGCCCTTAATATTAAATGCTGAGGTTTTTCATTTCAACGTCAGGTATTACATTAATGGAAGGAAAGTTGTTTTCTGTCAGGTAAACTATTATAAAAGTGCTATTTTATAGAAACATGTTTTAACATGATAGATACATTGCATGTGCATGGGCCTCTGAAATAACAGGTCATAATAGCTCTTAAAATTGAATAATTTTTCGTGCTGAATTAAGCAGTGTACACTTGCTACATTTATAGTTAAATATTTTAAATGGTGACAGAAAATGTGGAAGAAGGAAATAGTTATAGATTGAAATATGAGAAGTTGTTAAAGCTTAAATCTGTGCCTTGCTTCAAATTCAAGTGTATTCTGTTTTAACAATTGAGCACTTACAGTATGCCAGTCTGAAAAAATACAGGTTTCAGTGTCTTCATTATGTTCTTAGCAGGTTTCTACCCCTCTCTATATACATGATTATGTATATATACACCTTATATTTTTATATTATTTTGATATAAAATTGTATACATATAAATAAATATACAATTTAATATTGTTTTTGTTGAAAATCATGCCATCATCTTTATTCAGGTGTTTAGGTTATAACAGAATTTTAAAATCTTTGTTGAGAAAAAGTGTATTAAATTGGTGAATATGTTTAGGAAACTAAATTTAAGTGAAGTACTTTAAAACACAAAAATGCTGATAGAATAATGTGCCACTTAAATGTTTCTCAAAGTAGCAGTCCTAGGCATGTGTAGCCAATTTGTCCATAGAGCCAGAGATTCCAGTAGATAGCATTTGCAAAGACCACAGAGAATTACAACTGAAGATGAAAATATCCAGTTGAGTACTAATAACAGACAGGTTCTGAGGGGACAGGCTTAGAAGTGACAATCTTTTCTTCAAAATTGTGATTAGATCTTAAATAAGCAGACAGGCAAAGTAAAACCATGGGTACAGTTAATAGGACTCAAGAGGCGTTTTATGGTAGGGTCTGCACCATAGGATTTAAATACAACTTGAGTTAGGCATATGAATCCTTCTATAAAATATGTTGATGTGAAACATAAACACTAGTAAACATACAGTAGGATGTCCTTCAGATAACAGGCGTAGATTTGTGATACTTTTGCTTTTCTTCCCCTTTTTCTGTTTCTTTTCCCCCTCCCTTCTTCTCCCCCCCATCTGTTTTTGAACAGATGCCTTTTGAAATATGAATTAAGAGGAAAATGATGGTTGCTTTTATTATTGTCACTGTAGTAATTCTCTAAAATGATGTTTTTAATATGTGACACTTGTCTGGAAAACTTTGACACACAGGAAAACAGAGGAAACCCTAGCAATTATTATTGTTAGGTTTTTTATTGCTTAAATATGTGCAAGATGTACTCATTTCATGGTTTAAAATTCTGGATTTATCTTCTCTGAGTCATTTTATTGGGAGTTTTGAAACAGAAAAATCAAGTTTTTTATAGCATTTTTTTAAAGGAAGCAAGTAAATGATTGCTGGTTTTAATAATTTCCTTCAACTAGGCAGCTACGTAAAGGGATGCTAATGCTTAAGAAAAGGTTTAGCAGCCGAGAAAAATCATAAAATAAGTTTTTACTGTGGCATGAATATTTACTGGAAAAAGTTAAATGAGAGAAATTTTAGGCTATACAGAAGACCAATTAGGCTAAATTAATTTTTAAAGTTATTTATGTATGGATTTATAGAAGGTAAATAAGATAAAACAGACTTTATTGTGTTCTTCTAGGTAACTTTATGGAGTTTGGACGCTTGTTATTTTCTTGATGAACTGTGTTGTTGTGGTCTTTATATAGAAATGAGAAGTTTGACTTAAATCAGGGAGTTATTCCTCATCCATGTATCTAGAGTGAATGACAGTATTCTATAATATATTGTAATATGTACTCGGTGATAAATGGATTGGATGCTGTCACAAGTCATCAGGTCGGCTTTGAAGATGTATGACTAGGATGTAAGCAACTTCTTATCTTGCTGTTGATATTTATAGATTCTTAAATATTGCTAAAGTGAGTGTAGAATTTTATTTTAAAAATATGATGCAAACTGTAGTCTGCCCAGACTTGTGTCTTCTGCTTTTTTTGGCTTACGGTGAGCATTCTCTTTTGTATGTGTACATTCAGACACTTCTGAGCTTTTCATTTTCATTTTTTTCCTTGTACATTAAAATCAGTGTTAGAATGTATAATACATGAAAAAAAGCATATCCTTGATTAAATACATTGACAGATTATTCTGCATTAGATGTAGAATTTTATTTTTATATTAAGTTTGTAGAATTAATTGTTTGTGTCACTAAGGTCAAAATAGTTGCTAAAAAACCATGATTGCTTTGCAGGGTAGATTTGAGCTTGCATTTTGAGCATTCATTAAGTCAATGCTACCAAGATAATCTTTTTAAATGTTTTATGGGAATTTATTGCTTAGAAGCTGTTTCAGTTGACTATGTATAATGTTATTTCTTCAAAGCAGTTTTATTTTGTTAGTATATCATTACTAGCATTTTATTGTTACAAAATATGAATAGTATTTCCAAAAGTAAAAATATGGTACTATCATTCAGGTTATCTTAATGATGAAAAAATAGAAGTTTTGTGTTCTTGTGTGTTTTTTCCTCATGATTATTTAAAAAAGAGGAGGAGAATAATAGGAATTTGTTTATTATGTGAAGTCTTAAATTAGGTGTTAACAAAACTTATGTTTCTCTATGTTGGAAAGTAATTCTTTTTACCAAACAGCTAGAAACTTGCATTTTGGCTCTTTGAAAGAGAAAATAATTTTCTCATACTTTAGAGGAAGTTTTAAGTAAAAAGTGACATAAAAATATGCAGCTGCTACACCTGTAGCAAAAGCCATGAAACATACTGATGATATGTAAGTTAAATAGAAAACTTCTTACTGCATCTGATTGTACTTATTATTACTAAAATTGACCCCAGCATATTAGGCAAAAATGTCTCTTCCTAGTGATTTAAAACAGAAGTTAAAATTATGGAAAGGTATGCAGAAGTGTTACAGGCTTAAAAGAGCAAAAGTCTGCTAGGTTCATTTATAGGACTTTCAGAGCAGGTATTACCAAATTAGCAGATGTTGAGCTAGTAGAGGAAATTCAGGTACACATATGGTCTAATCTTTAATTTATTATGGAATTGAGAATGTCCTAAAATACCAGAAAGTAATTTTACCAAAGTCTTGACATGCCCCTAGAACTATTTCTTATTATTAGTCTTTATTTTTTTGATTCCTGCCCTGTGCTTCTGCAAACAGTTTTTTCCCTTGGTGAATAATTACAGAAGGGCAGAATTCAAGTACAAGCTGTCTGTCTGCCTATTGACGCTACAGCTGGAGTAAAAAGAGTGTATTTCATTTTCCATGTCTGCCATCCCAATCTTTGATGAGCTCCTTATTGTCTGATTGTCCAAAAATTTTGGCTATTTAATATAACTGCCAGGAGGTGGGTCACATTGGGACCACGCCTCACTACTTCCACCTGTGAAATGGGAATGATGTGTATCTGGTTTACATGTTTGTTTCTGGAGCAATTCATAAGCTAGGCTCCTGACTACATGAGCCAAACTATCTGATTAAATATTATAAAAACCCCATATCACATCTCAATGTGGTATTTTGATGGGAATTTACAAAGGTTTGTAAAAATGCCGACTGCTTGTACAGCTATATAATTTTCTAGAGCTTGCCTTCAAAGAGATGTGAACATAAAGCACCATGTTCATCACAAGAATACATATTAACACCTAAATGTGTAGATTAGGAAAAACTGCTGTAATATCACTGAGAAATTTTTAGAAAAGCACATTGAAATAAGTGTACATACTTTTTTCCTTAGGATAAAATAAGCTTAATAGATTTAAACCTAGATTTAAAGTAAAACTTGCAAGTTTAGTGGGGCGAAAGAGATAAACTTCATTTGTAGGGAGCTTGTGCAAGCTATAAGTGGTTGC